TACACCCCAGGAGCAGGAGCCTAACTTTACACCCCAGGAGCTAGAGCCTAACATACACCCCAGGAGCTATACCCTAACATACACCTCAGGAGCTAGAGCCTAAACATACACCCAAGGAGCTAGAGCCTAACTTTACCCCCCAGGAGCTAGACCCTGACATACACCCCAGGAGTTTAGAGCCTGACATACACCCCAGGAGCTAGACCCTAACATACACCCCAGGAGCTAGAGCCAAACATACACCCCAGGAGCTAGAGCCTAACTACACCCCAGGAGTTAGAGCCTAACATACACCCCAGGAGCTAGAGCCTAACATACACCCCGGAGCTAGAGCCTAACATACACCCCAGGGGGCTGAGCCTAACATACACCCCAGGGCTAGAGCCAAAACATACACCCCAGGAGCTAGAGCCTAACATACACCCCAGGAGCTAGAGCCTAACATACACCCCAGGAGTTAGAGCCAAAACATAAAACCCCAGGAGCTAGAGCCTGACTTTACACCCCAGGAGCTAGGGGCCTAACATACACCCCAGGAGCTAGAGCCTAACATACACCCCAGGAGCTAGAGCCTAAAATACACCCCAGGAGCTAGAGCCTAATGCACCCCGGGGAGCTAGGGGCCTAACATACACCCCAGGAGCTAGAGCCTAACATACACCCCAGGAGCTAGAGCCTAACATACACCCCAGGAGCTAGAGCCTAACATGCACCCCAGGAGCTAGAGCCTAACATACACCCCAGGAGCTAGAGCCTAACAAAACACCCCAGGAGCTAGAGCCTAACATACGACCCCAGGAGCTAGAGCCTAAACATACACCCCAGGAGCTAGAGCCTAACATACACCCCAGGAGTTAGAGCCTAACATACACCCCAGGAGTTAGAGCCTAACATACACCCCAGGAGCTAGAGCCTAACATACACCCCAGGAGCTAGAGCCTAACATACACCCCAGGAGCTAGAGCCTAACATGCACCCCAGGAGCTAGAGCCTAACATACACCCAGGACTAGACCCTAACATACACCCCAGGAGCTAGAGCCTAACTTACACCCCAGGAGCTAGACCCTGACATACACCCCAGGAGCTAGAGGCCTAACATACACCCAGGAGCAAAGAGCCTAACATACACCCCAGGAGTAGAGCTAACATTACACCCCAGGAGCTAGAGCCTAACATACACCCCAGGAGCTAGAGCCTAACATACACCCCAGGAGCTAGAGCCTAACATGCACCCAGGAGCTAGAGCCTAACATACACCCAGGAGCTAGAGCCAAAAATTTACACCCCAGGAGCTAGAGCCTGACTTTACACCCCAGGAGCTAAGCCTAAACATACACCCCAGGGCTAGAGCCTAACATACCCCCCAGGAGCTAGAGCCTGACATACACCCCAGGAGCTAGACCCTTTGACATACACCCAGGAGCTAGAGCCTAACATAACCCCGGGAGCTGAGCTAACATACACCCAGGAGTAGAGCCTGACTTTACACCCCGGGAGCTAGAGCCTGACATACACCCCAGGAGCTTGAGCCTAACATACACCCCAGGAGCTAGAGCCTAACAACACCCAGGAGCTAGAGCTAACATACACCCCAGGAGCTAGAGCCTAACATACACCCCAGGAGCTAGAGCCTAACATACACCCCAGGAGCTAGAGCCTAACATACACCCCAGGAGCTAGAGCCTAACATACACCCCAGGAGCTAGACCCCTAACATACACCCAGGAGTGGGAGCCTGACATACACCCCAGGAGCTAGAGCCTGACATACACCCAGGGGGCTAGAGCCTAACATACCCCCCAGGAGCTAGAGCCTAACATACACCCCAGGAGCTAGAGCCTAACATACAACCCAGGAGCTAGAGCCTAACATAAAACCCCAGGAGCTAGAGCCTAACATCACCCCAGGAGCCAGAGCCTAAACATACACCCAGGAGCCAGAGCCTAACATACACCCCAGGAGCTAGAGCCTAACATACACCCCAGGAGCTAGAGCAAACTTACACCCCAGGAGCTAGAGCCTAACATACCCCCCCAGGAGCTAGAGCCTAACATACACCCAGGAGCTAGAGCCTAACTGCACCCCAGGAGCTAGAGCCTAACATACACCCAGGAGCTAGAGCCTAACATACACCCCAGGAGCTAGGCCTAACATACACCCCAGGAGCTAGAGCCTAACATACAACCCCAGGGCTAGAGCCTAACATACACCCCAGGAGCTGGGAAGCCTAACATGCACCCCAGGAGCTAGAGCCTAACATACACCCCAGGAGCTAGAGCCTAACATACACCCCAGGAGCTAGAGCCTAACATACACCCCAGGAGCTAGAGCCTAACATACACCCCAGGAGCCGGGAGCCTAACATACACCCCAGGAGCTAGAGCCTAAAAAATACACCCCGGGAGCTAGAGCCTAACATACACCCCAGGAGCTAGAGCCTAACATACACCCCAGGAGCTAGAGCCTAACATACACCCCAGGAGCTAGAGCCTAACATGCACCCCAGGAGCTAGAGCCTAACATACACCCCAGGAGCTAGAGCCTAACATACACCCCAGGAGCCAGAGCCTAACATACACCCCAGGAGCTAGAGCCTAACATACACCCCAGGAGCTAGAGCCTGACAGTTATTCCACAAAGATAATATATAATTACATATAAGATTTTATACTTTAGTCGACACTTTCTCGATATTTTCTTTGATAACCCAAATATTCAATTTTATCTGTGTATGCTGCATTGTATGCTGCATTGTATGCTGCATTGTATACTGCATTGTATGCTGCATTTTTTACATTGTATGCTGCATTTTTTACATTGTATGCTGCATTTTTTACATTGTATGCTGCATTTTTTACATTGTATGCTGCATTGTATGCTGCATTGTATGCTGCATTGTATGCTGCATTGTATGCTGCATTGTATGCTGCATTGTATACTGCATTGTATGCTGCATTGTATGCTGCATTGTATGCTGCATTGTATGCTGCATTGTATACTGCATTGTATGCTGCATTGTTTTGCTGCATTGTATGTGTATTGTATGCTGTTTTTGTATGTGTATTGTATGCTGCATTGTATGCCTGCATTGTATGCTGCATTGTATACTGCATTGTATGCTGATTGTATGCTGCATTGTATGCTGCATTGTATGCTGCATTGTATACGCATTGTATGCTGAAATTGTTGCTGCATTGTATGCTGCATTGTATACTGCATTGTATGCTGCATTGTATGCTGCATTGTATGCTGTATTGTATGCTGTATTGTATGCTGCATTGTATGCTGCATTGTATGCTGCATTGTATACTGCATTGTATGCTGCATTGTATGCTGCATTGTATGCTGCATTGTATGCTGCATTGTATACTGCATTGTATGCTGCATTGTATGCTGCATTGTTGTGCATTGTATGCTGTATTGTATGCTGTATTGTATGCTGCATTGTATGCTGCATTGTTAGGGCTGCATTGTATACTGCATTGTATGCTGCATTGTATGCTGCATTGTATGCTGTATTGTATGCTGTATTGTATGCTGCATTGTATGCTGCATTGTATGCTGCATTGTATGCTGTATTGTATGCTGCATTGTATGCTGCATTGTATGCTGTATTTTTTACATTGTATGCTGTATTTTTTACATTGTATGCTGTATTTTTTACATTGTATGCTGTATTTTTTACATTGTATGCTGTATTTTTTACATTGTATGCTGTATTTTTTACATTGTATACTGCATTTTTTACATTGTATACTGCATTTTTTACATTGTATGCTGCATTTTTTACATTGTATGCTGTATTTTTTACATTGTATGCTGTATTTTTTACATTGTATACTGCATTTTTTACATTGTATGCTGCATTTTTTACATTGTATGCTGTATTTTTTACATTGTATACTGCATTTTTTACATTGTATGCTGCATTTTTTACATTGTATGCTGCATTTTTTACATTGTATGCTGCATTTTTTACATTGTATGCTGCATTTTTTACATTGTATGCTGCATTTTTTACATTGTATGCTGCATTTTTTACATTGTATGCTGCATTTTTTACATTGTATGCTGCATTTTTTACATTGTATGCTGCATTTTTTACATTGTATGCTGCATTTTTGCATTATGCCGTATTTTTTACACTGTATGCTGTATATTAATTTCCTTCTCATATTGGGTGTTTTTTTGTAAATTATTTCAACCACGGGAATTGTTTCATCAGTTAAGATTAAGATAAGATTTTGTTGGAGTTTTTAAATCCCCGGGGAGGGGGGAGGTGAGCCACCCATGATAACCCAAGACGGTCAGTGCGTCATCCAGGACTCTCTTGTTTCTATTCGGATCCTTAAATCTTGTCCCCCAGGATGCAACCCACACCAGTCGACTAACGCTTACTGCTAGGTAAACAGGGACAGCAGGTGTAAGGAAACAAGCGCAAATGTTTCCACCCGTGCCGGGGAATAAACCGGGGACGCTCAGTGTGAGGCGAGAGCGTCGCCAACCAAGCATATCAGCGTATAATTGATGCAGTTCCAGATTAACTGAGCTTCACTTCATTAACCTACAGTCGTATGTTACACAGAGACCATCAGCTAGTGTGTTTGTCTTGTTTACCATTCGTCTCCACTTGCTGACATCAGTCAGTTGTCAGGTGCCTGACACCCCGAACCGTGGTCAGTCTCTCAGATACGTGAGTGGTTTTATTTTTCCATTTGACTGATTGGCAGACAACTATCTGGGTTGTCTCTACCAACAAAGAAGGGAGGTCTCTGCCAACAGAGAAGGGGGATGGGGGAATCTGCCAACAGAGAAGGGGGGGTCTGCCAACATAGGGGGCTCTGCCAACATGGGAGGGGCTCTGCCAACAGAGAAGGGGGAGGGGGAATCTGCCAACAGAGAAGGGGGGTCTCTGCCAACAGAGGGGTCTCTGCCAACAGAGAAGGGGGGGTCTCTGCCAACAAAGAAGGGGGGGTCTCTGCCAACAGAGAAGGGGGTTCTCTCCCAACAGAGAAGGGGGGTCTCTGCCAACAGAGGAGGGGGTCTGCCAACAGAGAAGGTGGGGTCTCTGCCAACAGAGAAGGGGGGTCTCTGCCAGCAAAGAAGGGGGAGTGGGGTCTCTCCCATCAGGCTAACCCAATACACAATGAATAAAAAGTCATAATTTCGCGACTGGAACAATACTAGTATAACCCTATGTGAGACGAGGCCTGGTCTCAGACCGAGCCGCGGGGGTGTTGACACCCGAAACCCTCTCCAGGTATGTGCGAGTTATTTTTGTATTGTTCCAGTCGCGGAACTGTGACTCTTTTAAGCTGATCCAAACAACCAGCTATCTGCAGCTCACACACGTTGGGGTGGTGGTACAAGGTAAAATCTAGACCAAGCTACCAGCTATCTGCAGCTCACACACGTTGGGGTGGTGGTACAAGCTAGACCAAGCTACCAGCTATCTGCAGCTCACACACGTTGGGGTGGTGGTACAAGGTACAAGCTACAACAAGCTACCAGCTATCTGCAGCTCACACGCAGCTAACCAGCAAGTGAGCCTACAAATACACTGATGTGGTTGAAGAGCAGCGTTTTAACGACCATTTGATCTCTGCTTGGTGTCCAGGATGGGCTTTGGTAATAGAGAACAGCCTCCAGCTGGCTCTTCTGTGCTCCCGGGGTTTCACAGCTGGTTCCAGACGGCGGCTTGGTCATCTAAAGATAGTTGGAGTGAGTGGTTGGACTCCAGATGGCAGCAGCGGCATCAATGAGGGAGTGTGTCGAAGAACAGTCAACGTTGTACCACCAGTCACATACCAGCAGCTGCTGACTGAAAAGTGTACCCAGCGGACAGAGGAACGAGGCGCTACGACCATCCCAACACACGTGGAACACCTGCAAAACACACACACACCTGTTAAGCTCTTCCCTTCACAACAGTTTTTACACCAAAACTGACTTAAGAGGCCTTACCTAACCTTGCAGTAATGATCGTTATTAGTTTCAGAATAATTCTACTCAACATATATAAATTTATATCTATTTAATATACTTAAAACCATATATATATATATATATATATATATAATATATATATATATAATATATATATAATATGCAAAACAACCACTGTGAAAGAGTAGTGAAATTCCAAGCGCTTTCGTGACTACTCACATTGTCAAGGAACTATGAAAGTAATACATCAAAGGAAGGCAATTAAAGGGCTTAGACTACACCTCACAGTCAACCCCCACAACAAAGAAACACCTGACACGCGACAATACCGGACTCATAAGAAAAGAGGAACACTGCAGTAGGTCCGCTGGTCCAACTAGACAGGTCCTCACGACATCCCACTAACAAAATATTCTACCCAAGAAATAAGGTTTATTATTTGTCCAATTTATTATTAAACTCTAACCAAATTTTATTAATTATAAATGAGCCTAATTTATATAAACCTAAGGAAATATTCATATTATTTTCAAAACTGCTTTTTATGAAACAAGATTAAATTATATTCCTGTCGACCATGGACTTGCTTGATACTACTTTCTCAACTTTTTGAAAATCAATTGGATGGTTAAAATCTCTCGCATGAATAAATAGAGCATTGGAATCTTGTCCAGTTCTAATGCTATATTTATGTTGTTTTAATCTAAGTTCGAGACTTTTACCAGTTTGACCGTAATAACCTTTATCGCAAATTTTACAAGGAATCTTATAGACACATCCATCAGCATTTTGGGGGGAATTCTTTATCAAAAGTTTTTTTTACTGTATCAAGATTTTTAAATGAAACTTTAATATTAAAAGTCTTAAGAAGAGAAGGCACATCAACCAAGTTTTCATGGTAAGGGAGAACCAACATATTTTTAGTTGAATAAGGTTGGTTGTCCCTTTTTGGGCTGTAAAAAGTATTTCTAGCAATTTTAAATGATTTATCAATTACATTTCTCGCTTATTTCAGATCAATGGCTATTTCATAAATTTTGGATATTTCTTCATCTATGAACTCAGGACTACAAATACGTAAAGCTCTCAAAAACATTGATGAGAAAACAGACAGTTCAACTCTATCTTGATGGGAATAATAGTGTACATAGGAACAGTTATTTGTAGGTTTTCTGTAAATTTTAAATTTGAATTCATTATTACTCTTAATAATTAAAACATCTAGAAAAGGCAATGAGTTATTTTCCTCAAGCTCAACAGTACAGTTTATAGAATGGGCTAAGCTATTTAATTTGCCAAGGAAATGGTGTATATCTACATTCTTGGGCATAAGACATTAAATATCATCAACATATCTGGGCCATTTTGCTCTATTAGGGAGGATTGTGTTAAGCAATCTTGTTTCAAATAATTCCATGTATAGATTACTAAGAACAGGTGAAAGAGGATTTCCCATTGCCATACCAAACTTCTGAGTGTAAAACTTATCATTAAATACAAATTTTGCATCAACAATGCAAAGTTTAATAAGTTTAATGATGGTAGGAACTGGCAATGGTAAATCATAATTAACGAGTTCTTCAGATAAGAAACTTAATAAATCATCAACAGGAACTTTCGTAAACAAGGAAGTAACATCAAAACTAACCATGTTAAAATCATTTAAGTCAGTCAAGGAGCTTAATTTATCAACTAAATCTAAGTTGTTTTTAACATTAAAGTTAGAAATTTTACCAACAATAGGGCTCAAAATGTTAAGCCATTTGGACAGTTTATACGAAACTGATCCTATGGAGCTAATAATTGGTCTAATTGGATTACCTGGTTTGTGTGTTTTTATTAGTCCATACATGTAAGGTAAAGATGGATTAGTGGAAGTAAATTGCTTAATTAATTCATCTTTGCCTTTCAGTAGAAGTTTTATTGCTTTATTTTATTAGTGGGATGTCGTGAGGGCCTGTCTAGTTGGACCAGCGGACCTACTGCAGTGTTCCTCTTTTCTTATGAGTCCGGTATTGTCGCGCGTCAGGTGTTTCTTTGTTGTGGGGGCTGACTGTGAGGTGTAGTCTAAGCCCTTTAATTGCTTTCCTTTGATGTATTACTTTCATAGTTCCTTGACAATGTGAGTAGTCACGAAAGCGCTTGGAATTTCACTACTCTTTCACAGTGGTTGTTTTGCATACTTTAAAATCACCTCTTTACTGTGATCTTATTGCATATATATATGTATAATATATATATATATTATATATATATATATATATATAATTATAATATATAATATATATATATATATATATATATATATATAATATATATAGGTTTTAGGTATATTAAATAAGTATATTGAAAGTATATTAAAAGCCACTTGCCTCCACTCCAATCCAACTCGTTCATACAGGCCTGTTGGATGTTCAAGTCCATAGCACTTAAAACACACACATATATATATATATATATATAATATATATATATATATATATATATATATATATATATATATATATATTATAATATATATATTAGGCTAATTACATTTTAAACTTAAAATTTACATCGCTCTTAGTAAAACTTATCACTGCTAACACCACTGCTGCCACTAACACCACTGCTCATACCACCACCAGTACAAACATCACCATCACGTCCACCAAAACTATAAAATAATACAACATTCAATAGGATATAAACAAAGTCTTCCATTGGACAGTAAAGAATAACCTGACGTATAGTGGTGGCAAACGCAAATGTTTGGATATGGCAAGACTGAAGAACTCAAAAGGAACACTGTATTGAAAACACAGGATGATCACCAAATAGAATGAAAATAGCCCTTGAAAAAATCTGGGTGTACGAATGTCAGCTGACCTTTCTTTTAAAGACCACATTAAGGCAAATATCGTGAAAACCAGAAAAATGACATGGGTGGATAACGAGAACTTTCAAAACGGGAAATAATTCCACTGATAACACAATTCATATCACATGTGCTCTCTCGTTTAGAGAATTGTTCAGAGAGAAATCATATCTGGAACAGATACAAAAATCATTTTCAGATCATGTAGGATTAATAAAGTATTAAAATTACTGGGAATGTCTCAAGGTGGTAAATACACAAAATCTGGAACAAGAGGAGAGAGATGCATGATTGGATATGAGTTGAATGTACTTGAAGGCCTGGTAACAAACCTACACGCTACCATAACAATGATCTGAAGTGAGAGGTGTGGGGAAAAATGTAAAATAAATCCAGTGAAAAGCAGGGATGCTGTGGACACAAAAGAGAACATTGCATCAACATCCCTGGTCACAAACTATTAGCCATCTTAGCAGAAGAAATCAGAAATACTTTGGAAACAATTGTAGAAGATCAACCATGGTGTGATGGATATGTTGGAAAGTGGGTCGCCAGCAGCCATAGCCTGGTTGACCAGAGAAGCCTGGCCAAGGGCCAGGCTTAAGGTGTAAGAAGATTCTGCAAAACCCATCAAAGGTAAGGGAGCCAGCTTTCTCAACAACACAAGAGTGGACTTAGTAGCGACCAGCGAAGAGGAGAGGCCAGGAGCTATGCCTCGACCTTTGCAAGAACATATAGGTGAGTACGAGCACAAACCAGCAAGAAATCACTGTACCAACACACCTCATCAACAATCCACCATTACACTAGCTCTCCACCACACTAACCCACCACAATCACACCAGCACTCAACCCACAACAACACCATCAACACACTACTAAAGCAACACACTACCAACACACCACAACAGCTACAACACGATACCACCCACATCAACAAATTACTACATCAGTACCATTACTCCAGCAACCCACAACCACGCCACTAACTAACCACCGCATCACTACCCACACCACATCAGTACACCAGCTTACCTGACAGTTGGTCTCTGGATCGGCGAAGTAACCTCCGAACGGCTTGCTGGAGCACTCAAAACCTGTCTTTGGTATGCTCTGGAGGATCGGATAGTCTATACCACCGCGACCGGGTATCGAACCGGTGTACGGCACATCTGAGCTACCTACAGTTCGTGTCTTACCGTCTAGTACTGGCGTCTCGGGTCTTGAAGTGTCTTTACCGCCACCACCACGACTTAAATTTTGTTTCGGAACTGTGGCAAGCCGTGAGAGGCTGGTGCGGCTGTGAGAAAGTGACCTTGAGTTAGTTCTGGACTTCGACTGTTGTCTGACTATGTTGTATGATGTTTGGACCGGGCGAAAACGGTGTTTGCTGAGGGATTTGGTCAGTGTTTTGGATTTTTGTGCCTCGAGTCTGAGAGACGAGGGAATATGTGAACGTGCTGGTGCAGAGTAGATTTTACCTCGAACTTTGGAACGTGTGGAAATGCGTTTGGGTTGAGCTGTAGAGGAAGGCAAAAGAAACAGATCAGAGGAATTCTGAGGGACGCCGATGGAAGACGATGAAAAAGATACTGGCGGAGAAAAAGCTCTTGAATCCGAATTTAAAGATAGTGAATGATTGTGTATGGGCTTCTGGATTCCTTTATCGGTCAGAATGGATGTTTTAGGAAAGGAGGAAAATGTTACCGATGTGGGAGCCTCGATGTAAGAGTTTGACACAGACTTAGAAGGTGTAAAGGAATTTTTTAAAAGTGATTTAGAATTTATTGAAGCCGTGGGAGGAGGCGCTGTAAACGACTTAGTCGTTGACAGTGACAAGCGGGAAGGCTTAGTAAATGATTTTAGTTTTGATGATAGAAAAGGAAATGTTGTAATTGTTTCAGATGTTTGTGAAACAAAGGAAGATGGGATGGTAAGAGGTAAGGTAGAAGAGTTGGTCTCTGATAAAGTAGAAGACCTTGTGGAGGAGAAAATGGGAATGGAATTGGAAGTTGTGTCTACTGGAGGTGGTAATGCAGCAGGCGACGCAGTAGTAAAGTAGCTTGAGTAAGAATGTGCTCTTGGCGGTGACGGAGTTGATACCGAAGAAGGTGGCGTAGAAAATGAATAGTTAGAAGTTGAGGGAATATCTTTGTTGCGAGGAGCAGGAGACTCTGAAGATGGATGTGAGATCGAGGAAAAGGACTCGATGAAATAGGATGGAGTGGATGAAGGAGTAACAGAAGAGACTGGATGACTCTGTGTATTAGTGAATTCCTTTGAAGGTTGAGAGTCAGACAGTGAATAAGAAGAGTAACTTGAAGACACTAAGATCCCTTTTGCTATAAGGTTGGGATTCTTAGTGGTCGGCTCCTCACGGGCAGAGGTCACTACTGTAGTAGTCGAGGGTGACGTCACTAGTTCCATGTGCTCCACAAAGTGAAACTTGTTAGTATTCTGGCTCAGATCCTCAGAATGTGGTGAAATGTCTATCTGGGACCTAGACAAGGTGTCCTGCAGTGACTTCGCTGCTCTCTGGTTCCCACCTGGCACTCCAGCAGAAAAAGAATCAACTTGCTCTGCCTTCTGCTTTGTGATAGTGTTGTTAGAATCTTTCTGTTTTCCCTGTGGCACTTGTGGTTGTGAGAGCTGTGGAGGGAAGTACGTCTTGGCACCCTCCGGGAGCCAGGCGAGGGCAGTGCTGGCGGGAGGGTCGACCACATCAACCTGGATGAAGTAAGAAAGATCTTCCGTGTCCTGTCCTTTTTCCCCCTGCAACCCTGCAGGAAGCTCCAGGTACGAGCTCTTGAAGCGGATCTGTCGCTGGCTCTGCAACAGTAAGGTGAGGTTAGTTGTGAGCCAGAGTGTGAGCGTTGCACTCACACACTACCAACACTGATGTTTATAAGTGAGAATATTAATCACGCTTCCGGAAATTAAGTTCTTATATGATGACTCCTTAATCACATAACAGAAGCTAAATTACATGAAATGTATTAAAAGAGGAGACTGGATTTGCATTACTGATGAATAAATATCTTGGAGTTATTGAAATTAAAATACAAACAAATGCATAAGGAACACTGGAACAATACACAAATAACCCTCACATAGGAGGACGAGTTTTAAGACGAAATTTCGATAGATAATGGTCCAAATCGGGGCGAAATGTCCTCATAACATTTCTTTCACCTATGTGGGGGTTATTTGTGCATACACTTAGGACATTTTTGTTGGATACGTTTCGGCCCTGGAACCTTTGTCACTCCAAAGCATAGAGACGTATGAGCTAGTACATTATATATAGTGCGTAATGCTAGTCATGGTGATGGTCAGGTGAAACTATCAAACAATGACACTGCTGTGTCTCGTGGCAGCTGAGAAACAGCATGTAGCTGCATGTTGCAGTTTTGTTCATGTCAGAGGTGTTGAGCTGATGTTTTTGCCACAGCTTTTGTTTTATGGTGTTGGGAGTAGCAAGTCGGTAATACCGACTAAATTGAAGAGTAAAATGCATGTGCAACAGATGGGTATCTTGTTGATCGTGGGTAAAACGTTTCAATTAACATTTTAGATCAATACAGTTGCGCACCTACCCTTATCGGGTTCTCTCTAAATCTTTTCAGTGTTTTTCCATCGCATGGGATGGCATTCTTCAGACCTGGACCCAACATAAGCATTCTTGGGGTCGTCTCTGTTGAAAACATCTTCAAAACGTGTAGAAAGATTTCTCCCCGTTTCTCCTACGTATATTTTTTGTAGTTCCCGCATGGTACGTTGAATGCTACTCCTTGAGTGTCACGGGGATCAAGCTTCCCGGTGAGGAGTCTGATGGATTACATGACCTTTGCGGTGTTGGCCACTTTTTCACGTAGAATAAAAAAAATCTAGGTTTCTCGTTATTGTTTTTTTGGTTGAGTTCATTGTAGTAGTAGCTATGCCTTTGCAATCTGGATAAAGGATACACTTGTGTAACATTTGGGTATCTTGATTCTGGAAACGTTTCGCCAGCCTTTGGCTTCTTCAGTCCGATGCAGAGAAACTCACCCGTCTGGTGGCCTCCAGCTGTGAGAGGTTTGAGGTTAGTACAGTAACTCACCCGTCTGGTGGCCTCCAGATGTGAGAGGTTTGAAGTTAGCACAGTAACTCACCCGTCTGGTGGTCTCCAGCTGTGAGAGGTTCCCAGGCTGGGAGAGTTGTAAGAGAAGAGCAAGGATGGCAGTGTGGGCAGCTGCTAAACTCAGGTCAGGTGTGGTCGTGGTGTTGTCAGACTTCAGTAACACATGGTCACTTCCCGGTTCCTCACCATCGCTGCCTGGCGACTCTGCCGGAGAAGCAATTATGGAGTTTTAGTAAGTTCATTGAGGCACATATACACATAAGTACAATTATCATACCTAGTAACATGCATATATTACCTAGGAAAACCCAAAACTATCAGTGACTTTTCCATTCGATCCTCTTATCTTACAGCCTTGCTGTAAGATACAGCTAAGTAACTCAACTGTGTATGAATCATTTACAGAAAAGGGGACACAATAGAAATAAAGTAAACTAAGTTATTTACATGAACACTAAATTGAGAGGATCAGCTTACAAATAGGTACACGAATATTAGATGTACAAGAAATCACTCTCTTCCCTTTCTGTTGTTCATTAAGTACATTTTAGCTCTCTTCCTGAACTGGTTCATGCTAGGACTGTCTGACATGTGCAGGCAGTCTGTTCCACTCATTTAATGCTGTACAATAAAAGGCTTTTGAAGCCTGACTACCTACTGTAGGTACTACAAAATTGTGTTCCCTTCCTCTAATACCATACTGATTTTGGTTCCCAGCCTTGACAAACTTGGCAGCAAGATATCTGGACACAGTAATTTTATAAACATGATTTAACTTCAGTTGTTTTACTCTGTGTTCAATAGAGTAATTCATCCTGGCCTAGATGCTCTCTTGGACCCAGGTCCAGGATAAATCTCACTATTTTTTGTTCTGGGTGATTTATATTCTTTTTTTTTTATGTTAAAGCAGAGTACCATGAAGAACAAGAATAATTTGCATGACACTATATAAAAGCTAGACACAGGGTTCTGCGAGCCTCAGCAAGTAGATACTGTGTCTGTCTATAGGGGAACTTTAGCCTGGCATTCGCTTTTCTTACTACATTATTCAGTATCAATTCTGACATGCTTGGGTCAAAGGGAATTCCCAGATATTTCACAGAAGATACACTGGACGTTAAAATGATTTACCATTTTCAGTTTACTTTTCGCACCAAAGAGTATGGTTTCGGTTTTTTTCAAGGTGTAGCGATAGTTTGTCTACAAGTCATCTGCTGCAGGACACTAGTTTTAGTGATAGTACATTAGCTATATCTTGTGGGTCTTTACAGGACACTAACAGAGCACTGTCATCTGCATACAACAGAAGCTTACACTTGACATTGATGAGCATGTCATTCACATAACATAAAATATTAACGGACCCAGAATACTACCTTGGGGAACCCCCCACATGCTATCGACAGGGTTTTTCATTCAGTCTTATTGATCGTGATAATTTGTTTTATGTTCCTCATATGGGATTTAGACCAGTCTAGAGAGCCTATGCCTTACACCTGCTGTCCTTGTTCACCTAGCAATACCTGGATGTTAGTCGATTGTTGTGGGTCGCATCCTAGGGGACAAGACTGAAAAACCCCGGTAATAATATTGAAACAAGACAGAGTCCTCGATGACGCACAAACTTTTTTGGATTATCCTAGATGGCTAACCCTCCGAGCTAAAAATTTCAACAAAATCTTGTCTTGTCGTATCTTAAACATGTCTAGAAAAAATAAAATAGTTGACCATTAAATATACCTCGATAAGGAAGAAAATGAATTGTAACTGTTTGAGGGTAAACTTGTGTAAATTTGTGTTATGGAACACTTTGCTTGCAATTCATAATAATATTAATATCTTTATTTCTTCAAGTACATGCACAAGGTATACAGGCCTAGCAGACATCAGTGACATACTACTATATAGAAAGCCGCTCGTTATGGAGAGCATATGTCGCTTCTGGACAACGGGTATGTTGTCACCACTCCAGCAAGGGCATGTTGCCCCAATTTCCAACAGGGTAAGTTAGTAAGTTTATTCAGGTATACACAAATACAGTTACATAGATTATTATACATAGCAGCATATGTGTAGAGAACCTAGGATAACCCAAAAAAGTCAGTGATTTATTTTTAATGGACATTTAGTCCACTCTATGAACTAACATTACGTACTCTGCAGTAGCTGGGAAGCCTGGCTAGGGAAGGCTTGTGTCAGTTTTGCGGCCGGAGGATCGAGTCTTCACCACTACCTCACTACCTGCTTGTATGACCCACACGGGTGTAACACTTCACGTAAATATACTATTAATAACTGAACTTAGGACATTTGATCTGCCTAGATGATGACAAAATGGGGGTGGACAGTGTCACACTGGGGGTGGACAGTGTCACACTGGGGGTGGACAAGGGTTTCCTTGACCATCGGAAGAGCTATTAATGCTCCACTTAAGTCTACAGTTACCAAATTACAAGTCAGTGTGACTTGTAAATGGTCTAAATCTGACCGAAACGTCGTCGTAAGCTCCTCTCTCCTATGTGCGAATTATTTGTTTATTGTGGACTTGGTGTTGTGTAACTATGACCAAGTGATGTGATAGTGTAAATATTTTTAAATCTGTTAAATTCGGAATTAGTGTAAACTTCTGGGTTAACATAAGTGGGTTTTGTTAAATAGTGGTGCCAAGCGTAGTGACACTGTCACTTCCCTGTCCTCGGTCAGACAACGAGTACCGTGAAAACTGACCTGCATGAACCAGCAGCACTAGCAGGGAGCCAAGCAACACTCGTGTCAGCACCATGCTGCAGGGAGCCTTGGCACTCCCAGGGAACAGTGATTGACCTGGTAGATCACGTGTGGTGGGTCACAGGATGGGTCGGGTACGTACCAGCTGAGGTACCTTGCAGTGGAAGACGACACAAGTGGTTGTTAATGGGGGTTGATCTTTCCTCACATCAGTTCCTGCTACACACCTGCTGAAGGACAGTTGTCTTAATAAGCACTGCTTAACTTACCAGTGTGAAGATGAATTAATTGTGTTGCCGAGTTCTGAGCTTTGCGCAGACCTCGGCAACACATTTGTCCTCAAAGATTTGTTAAGTTATACCATGAATTAAGGAAAGATCGTAGACTTCACCTTACGACAACAGACAAAGCAAATGCAATAGTAATTATGGACAAGGTAGATTATAGGGAAAAAATATACATGATATTAGGGAGACAGGGAAACTCATGCCTAGCTTCGGAAGCTGTGACGTACCTCGAGAGCAGAGTATTATGGAGAATGATTTCCCTGGCTTTGCACATTATTCCTGGCTTTAATGTGAAGGCTCCGGGAGTACTGAAATGGTTGTGTGGGGAGAGAGAAAAAAGATATATTTCTGGCGGAAACTGTGGAGCAATATGTGGTGTGTTCTTTTACCGCGGTCCATCAAGGTAACTGAGATGAACACTGCCTTGACGCAACACAGCCTCGAATTCTGTGTGGAATTCTAAAGTAAGTTTGCAGTATTTTTTTTCAGTTTGCGTGATTTTTAGGTTGGGTTAGGTCACTTTAACACTCGTTATACTGTCATCCATTTGACTGTCATGGCCCGGTGGCCTGGTGGCTAAAGCTCCCGCTTCACACACGGAGGGCCCGGGTTCGATTCCCGGCGGGTGGAAACATTTCGACACGTTTCCTTACACCTATTGTCCTGTTCACCTAGCAGCAAATAGGTACCTGGGTGTTAGTCGACTGGTGTGGGTCGCATCCTGGGGGACAAGATTAAGGACCCCAATGGAAATAAGTTAGACAGTCCTCGATGACGCACTGACTTTCTTGGGTTATCCTGGGTGGCTAACCCCCCGGGGTTAAAAATCCGAACGAAATCTTATCTTATCTTATCTTAACAGTGAAATATTGTTTCGTTATTAAGAGGACAAGCTGCGCCACGACTGGAGACCCAGATGACACTCAGGTGAGCACCTGATCCACGGATTTGCCCATATGTTCTGCTCTCATCCTTGGTGAGTCACATCAGGGGACGGGTGGGGGATGGAACCCATGGTAGATGAGTTCAAGCTCCATTCGTTACTATTTCGTGAGTCTTGGTGAGTCAGGGTGCCAAGGTCAACGTACCCGGGTCAAGGACACTGAAGTGATGCACTGCTACCACTCTATTACTGGATCAGGACGCAGTGGTAAGTTGAAGATAGTCTTACCGTATGTCACTCCGAAAACCCTAACCGAGGGTCGTTACGACAGACGTTAAGATCATTATAGATATTAAGATGATTATAATTATCTTAATTAGCTATTGAGATAGGAAGAATTCAACACTAAAGACGAGACGTCACCAACACTGGCGTGTTATTGCATATACAAGCACGCAGTCGTTCAAGCATACACGCCTGCACGCGCGCGCACACAATTCAAAAATTTCGGGTCGTCGCGATGCGGATATCAAAATATGAAAGTGGGAAGTCGACTGTGTTCACCATCCTTACTATCTGATTCATTATAGTGAATCTTCTGTTCTCACCATTCAGAATATATAACGAAAGTATAGCGAGTGTTCTGTATTTGCCATCTGACCTCACCATCACCACCACAACCAAAGCAGAGGTGATAATGTAGCCTTCACCATTCATTATTCTGAATGACTCGTGTGGGTTCAGCGCATCACGTAAAGAAAATTTTAAAGGGCAAGCATTGTTTCGATGGCCGGGAGTCGCTGATGACGGCTGGAAGATGGTTAATAGATTTTCAAAGTCTATCTACTACTCTGAGGGTAATTGAGTTACCACGTAACCTTTTGTTTTGTACCAGCAATCAAGGATACTTCAGTCGTAAGTGTACATGTATTGTTCTTGTCAGGACGTGACCGTTAAGTGGCTCTCGTCATTTATACAAAGTGGCAGCGAGAAACAAGTATTGGCTTATTTTAAAAAAGTTACTGTTGACACTGTATTGCAACTCCATAAAGTCACTGCTGGTGAGTGTTACTACAACAGTAATACACCACACAACACACCAACAGTAACGCACACCATTAACACTTCACTACACACTAATAACACAAACAACAACAGTAAGAGTGCGCAACACAGAACAAGCACACACACACACACACACACACACACACACACACACACACACACACACACACACACACACACACACACACAGGTATGGTAAAGCTCACGGTTCAGGGAGAGTGACCTAGTAGCGACCAGTGAAGAGGCGGGGCCAGGAGCTTGGACTCTACCCCTGCAACCTCAACTAGGTGAGTACAACTAGGTGAGCACACACACACACACACACAACACACACACACACACACACACACACACACACACAGTAACAATAACTCTACAAAACATAGTAACACTACACAAAACAGTAACACTACAACACTACACAGTAACAGTAACACACAGCATTAGTAACAGTCACACGCTTCGTCACGCTGTAATAACAAGTCAAGATATCTTTTGTGTTCTACGGAAAGTGAGGTAAATTGGTCTCCATTATCTAGTAACGCGATTTGCTCCACTTATGAAATTCGCAAGTGTATGTGTGTACTAACGTATATGTGGTTGCAGGGGTCGATTCATAACCCTTGTGTGTACTCGCCTATTTGTACTCTCCTATTTGTGGTTGCAGGGGTCGACTCACAACTGGCCCCGGGTCTTTGCTGGTCGCTACCAGGACCACTCTCTCCCTGCTCCAAAAACTTTATCGTTTTTCTTAAAGCGATTTATGGATCCTGCCTCCACTATATTACACTCCAGACTGTTCCACTTCCTAACAACTCTGACTAAAGAAATACTTCCTAACATCCCTGTGACTCGTCTGAGTTTTCAACTTCCAGTTGTGACTCCTTGTACCAGTGTCCCATCTCTGAAACATTCTGTTCCTATCCAACTTGTCAATTTCTCTCATTTTATATGTCGTTATCGTGTCTCCCCTATCCCTCCTGTCCTCCAGTGTCATCAGGTTGATGTCCCTTAGTCTCTCCTCATAGGACATACCCCTTAGCTCCGGGGCTAGTCTTGTTGTAAACCTCTGCAAACCTTCAGTTTCTTGACATGCTTGATCATGAGTGGGTTCCATAGTGGTGCTGCATACTCCAATACGGGCCTGGCATATACCGCAGACAGTGTTGTTAACGACTCCTTCCTTAGGTTCCTAAAAACACATTTGCTGCAGCAGTTATTTGGTTGACTTGTTGCTCGGTACACTGCTCACCCTGAGGTCATCTTTGAGCAAGATTTGCAGCCTTTCTCTCCCCCAAGTCTGTATTCCGTCTGTGGTCTTTACCTATCCCCATTCTTCAAAACTTTGCACTAGACCCGACCTGCAGCCTGTCCAGGTCCGTGTGAAGTCTTTCCTGGTCCTCACATGTTTGTATTTTTTTCATTATTTTCACATCATTTATGAGCAGGGATACCTCGGACGCTATTATACGACCAGGGATACCTCGGACGCTATTATACGACCAGGGATACCTCGGACGCTATTATACGACCAGGTATACCTCGGACGCTATTATACGACCAGGGATACTTCGGACGCTATTATACGACCAGGGATACCTCGGACGCTATTATACGACCAGGGATACCTCGGACGCTATTATACGACCAGGGATACCTCGGACGCTATTATACGACCAGGGATACCTCGGACGCTATTATACGACCAGGGATACCTCGGACGCTATTATACGACCAGGGATACCTCGGACGCTATTATACGACCAGGGATACCTCGGACGCTATTATACGACCAGGGATACCTCGGACGCTATTATACGACCAGGGATACCTCGGACGCTATTATACGACCAGGATACCTCGGACGCTATTATACGACCAGGGATACCTCGGACGCTATTATACGACCAGGGATACCTCGGACGCTATTATACGACCAGGGATACCTCGGACGCTATTATACGACCAGGGATACCTCGGACGCTATTATACGACCAGGGATACCTCGGACGCTATTATACGACCAGGGATACCTCGGACGCTATTATACGACCAAGGATACCTCGGACGCTATTCCTTGTCATGTCATCCACGTATACAAGAAACAGTGCCGTCCCTAGTGCTGATCCTTGTGGAACGCCACCCACCACATGAGCCCAGTCCAACACGTATTCTCGGGCAATCACTCCTTGTTTCCTTCCTGTTAAGTATTCCTTGATCCATTGCGGTGCCTTTCCTGTGATTCTTGACTTCTCCTTTAGCGTTCGTCCGAACATCTTGTGCGAGACTGTGTCAAAAGTTTTTTACAGTCCAGGAGTATGCAGTCTACTCATGCCTCTCTCTCCTTCCTCATTTCAGTTACCTTGTAGAACTCCAGTAGATTTTTAAGAGAGGATTTACTATCTTTAAAGATATGCTGGATGTCACTCATAAACCTACTCTTTTCCAGGCGGTTCATCAATCTTCTCCTGATTATCTTCTCCACAACGTTTCATACTATGCTCATTAGTGACACTGGTCTCTATCAGCCCCCTTCCTTAAGTGGGACTACATTTGTTGTCTTCTACACCTCTGGCAGTTGCGTTGTCAACTGACTTGTTAGTGGCTAGTGGCTCGCATGTGCTTCTGCTCCTTCTCTCAGAACCCACGGAGACGTATGTTTCTATTATTATTTTCAATTTTCAGGCAGCTGCCTTGCTTGGAAAGACTGGTTGAATTCCTTTACTGTGCGGCCACACAGTTCTAATATCGGTACCCATTGCGTTGTGTCATCTCATCCCTCTACTCTTGTTTAGTCAAGCTCCTTTATTAGTCTTACCTCTCCTTTTGTTGTGCTAATGGTTTCTAGTACCAGGTTGTTCTAGTCAAGCTCCTTTATTAGTCTTACCTCTCCTTTTGTTGTGCTAATGGTTTCTAGTACCAGGTTGTTCTAGTCAAGCTCCTTTATTAGTCTTACCTCTCCTTTTGTTGTGCTATTGGTTTCTAGTACCAG